TCAATTACCGTAAGGCCTGTTAGCTCAGTTGGTTAGAGCATCAACTTTGCAATTTGAGAACGTCAAGCGACCGCGTACAAATCCTGGCTGTGCCAGATTTTTTTTTTTTTTTGTTTTTTATTTTTTTTATTTGTTTAGAAAATATGAAAATTGAATAAATACGATTATTCTTGATTATTTTTTTAAATACATTTTAATTATTATAATAATAACCTGGTTTTACATTTTTTGATGAAATTATTTTGTGGTCGTAGGAAAAATATTGTACATTACTTGTGTGAAAAGTGATTTTCCACACTCGGGTGATAGTCGCACTCGGCTTGCGCCTCGTGCGACAATATTTCCCACTCGTGTGAAAAATGTCACTTTCCACACTCGAAATGTAATATACTATAAATACCGATATTTCTGCAATTATAATTGGTTTAATCACCTTCTAGCTTTATTTTATTACTATAGCAACTCCAAAATTTCAATTACTATAATCAACTAACCTAAGTTTCGCTAAACCCACTAGATACAAAATTCTATGGCTGAATAAGCGACCGACACGAACTAAAAATAAACGTTTTCAAAATGTATACCTACCCAAAGAATTTGGAACACACATATTCATACATATTTCTGTATCTAAAAATACATTCAGAATGTTTATGAGCTATCCAGGAACCTGTATGTTTCGTTGAAAACTTTATTTTTATCGCAAATGTGATAGGTGCAAAAATTCATAATTTATCTCATAATGTCTCGAGAATTTTTGTCTACCTACCTAAAAATAAGTGCACATTTAAAATATTAAACCGTGCATCAGCTGCATTCCTTTCGGTTTTGCAATTTCTGGACGTTATTTTGGAATAACAATTATTCAGAGACAAATTGAGAACTTAAATATTTTGAAAATCACAAAAATAAGTTAACTAAAGATTACTTTTAGTAGTTGAGTATTTTGCTTGCTAAGCCAAAAACCATATCTTTAAAATGACTTTCGAAACAAAAAACACCAAAATGTTCACATACAACTCGAAAAAGTTATAAAAGTAATTTTAAAAAGCTGATTCCAAAATCGTGCATAACTACAGAAGCCATTACAAATTGAGTTTGCTGATTTTATTACAGATCCCACCAATACATCTTGACCAAATGTAGGTATATGGGACACCCCTCTTTAGCAAAAAATAATCATAGAAATCGGACAACATGCTAAGAGTTTGATGATTTTTTTCATGGACGCCATTATTACATCTTGACCAAATTTAGGGGACCCCCTGAGGTACGCCCTTTCTAACAAAAAAAAAGAGTCATCGAATTCTGACCACGTGTTAAAGAATTATCGCTGACATATATAAAAAAATATTCAGACCAATTGAAAACCTCCTCCTTTTTAAGGTAGGTTAGTGAGGACCTCCTCCCTTTCTGAAGTCGGTTAAAAAATTAATTTAAATACGACTGTATTTCTTCAAAGTAGTTCTTGTTTGTAAATAATACTTTTGAAGTTCATGTGGCGTATAAGGTTATGCGGCTATTTAGCTAAGTAATAATGACACACCTCAGCTTTCTAGTAAATACAAGTTGAGATATGTAAATTTTCCTTAGTGTGTAATAAATCTGGTATTTATCTTAGTTCAAGCTATCCGATGCGTTAAAAACAAAAAAAAGTCGAATAAGGGCGAAACTTTATTTCCAAGTTATCAAATTCATCTAAATTGGTTTCCAGAATATCAAGAATTAACGGCTTAATTCCGTTTTGTAACATCTCCAAATACAATTCACCAGTTAAAATTTTCCCAACTATGTGGTTTCGCAAAAAATACCTATCCAGACATTTTCTTTTAATAAAAACATGTGAGGATTTGTAGTACTCTAATACCTCATATTTTGAGTATAAACGTTTCCATTGAGGAAGAAACAAATTGTTTTTACATAGTCTGGCAGTTGGCCAATTTTAGTAAACATATTTTCACAAAATTCTAGTCTTCGGTCGGAGTCGTCATCTGAAAGTGGATGTACCAAATTTGTTTTAGCCTGTGTACTGTACTTTGACTGACTTCAGAGGTAGACGAAATTTGATCTGTAAAAAAATGGAATTTTCTAACATTTCTGCATTTATGTCATTTTGTTTGTCATTTTTGGTTGACCAGATCATTTGGCATCATGAACACTAACCCGTTGTTTGAAACTTGTAAAGAAGCTTCCTTTTTTTTATAGAGAAGTGGTAATTTTCTGCGGGCTCTCAAGCGACTCTCAAAACTACTATCTTTGAGTAGTGTAGGGTTCTTATCTACCAAAACCCCTCATCTAATGGCACTATCTTTGGAAGGATTTATCATCGTGCGTCCTATGCTGGTATATATTTGTCTTTTTATTAGTCTATACCCTGCCTGGTAATACCTTTCTTCCTTCTCCAGCATCCCAAATGTTTTGTTTTTAGAGAATTTTCACTAGTAATACCACTAGAGGTCAAAAAATTTCCTGATATTAATTTGACCTCGCGTGGTATTCGGTAAGAAAATTCCACGCCGAATTATGGTTGAAAATTAAATATTTTTAAAATTTATTTTTCCTTCCTCAACAATGCAAATTATTTTCTCTAAGTCACCAGTGAAACATAAAAGGTGTTGTCGCCTTGATTGTTGAGTTGTCATGGTAACTAAGTGAGACCCTAACCTCGAATATAATTTCAGTTTTGAAGTTGTCACGCGGCCCGACGTAAAAAAAATGTTTCGCTGCAATTATTTAGGCCTTCAAATTGCTTATTTCTACTCATTGTAGTTGCATGGGAATACCATTTGAAAATAGAAAATAGTATATTCTTTAATTTTACGTAAGTTTTGAATAACTACAAGTGGTAGAAAATTGTTTTTCTGTGTTTTTATTAACATGCGTTATGAGCGCTTTAAAATGGTATGAAATTCATAACCAGCGTCAGCAAGCATCAATCGTAGGAGGCTGTGATCATTGTATTTTGACAGTTCAAAACAATAAATAACTCGCGTTTTGTTGCGATAAAGAATATTGCACAGCAAGTAAAACCAACAAAATTACCTATTTGTTTAAAAATGAATCGATTTGAAAATCATACGCTATGCAAAATATGCGTGAAATTGTCTGATGTAATGATCAATCATTGCACCATGACTTACTTACTCGGATTAATAGAGGATTGTGGCTCCAACTTGAAAAACGAAAATTTGTTTCGAATTGTCCACGAATATTTGCACCTAAACTACGCAAAATTCAAAGTGCTGAATGGGAAAAAGGTGAATAAATTAGTGTCTAAATATTATATATATTTTATTAGACATAGACACATAATTCAAAGCATCCAAAGTCCTGCATTTTCGCCGTTAAGAAGAAAAGAAGTGGCCGAAGAATATAGAAAACACCTTAGCATTGTAACTAAAATGTATCAAAACTAAACCTATTATGTGAACAAATAAAAACCAGTCTGTCAAAAATGGTCTGTTATTGTAAACGTCAAAAAATTTCCAGTATAATTCGCTGTTGGGTACCCCACGAGAAAAAAAATTCCACTAAAATACCTCCGTTGCCATGGTGATCTGTCAAAAACACGTATTTTGATTGGTTCAAAATTACAGGTGTGGAATTTTCATTAAAATGTTATCAGCAGTCAATTGCGATTCCAGTACTACTTCTAAACTTACCCTTTTCCCATCATGCGCACACAGAGTATGGATTATGGTAAGGTGCATCTTCTTCCAAGTTGTATATATACAGTCTATCGTCCGTCTTTTCGATTCTGTGTGTATAGTTTCTAAAAGATCTATGTCATGCCAGAAATTGACTGAGGAAGTAATCTATTCTTCCGAATTTACAATTATACCACCCTTCAATGGTCGGTATTAGCCTTCGTGACCAAGCTTTAACCTTAATACCCCATCATAGATAACTTTCCACATGGTTGGCCCAAGAACAGAGCCCTGTGGGACTCTCTGATCTATTTCGAAATTGGTTTTCTCTATTTCAAGGGTCCTACTGCATAGGTAACCTCCCATTAGGTTCAGTATATATTGGCTGATACCAATTACGTTGAAGGTTTCCATGATTTTGCTCCAGACTGCGTTATTAAAAGCATTACAGATATCGATTAGAATAAGTGCCCCCTATTTTTGATTTCCGTCTTTTACCATATTTAGAACGTCTATCGTTGATTTACCTCTTCTAAAACCGACTTGATTATCCGATATTCCTCTCTTTTCCTCAAGTTCTTTTCCAGTCGGTTTTTAATTAGATGTTCATAAAGTTTCCCAAGAACGTCCAATAAGTAAATAGGTCTGAATGTACCTGCCTTGGGTATTATGAAGAAGTTTCCTGATGTATGCAAAAGTTTGAGATCTGGGGGATCACAACCCCCATAAACATTCCATAAACCCATAAACATTCCTGAATAAATATCATTGGAAGGAACATGCTCATGTATACAGATAACATATAAGTACCCTGGACAGACTACGAATTTACTCAGGGTTAGTACTAGAATGTTACGAAGCTTTGGCCGAAGTATCCACCAACAATGTGACAACGTTAAGATGGATCAAAGGTTACGACATATTAAAAGGTAACCGTCTTGCTGATTCACCAGACAAGACGGCAGCCAAGTAAATACTTTATGGACCTGGTCATTGGACTGATAACACCGGTAAAAACAAACCTAATTAAAGAACATTTCCTTGTGAAATTCAATGACAGATAGAATGAAATAAGGAGTTGCAGCGAACAAATATTTGACTATGACTAGACAGAATCTGCTCCTGATCACATTACATTCCTGAATTAAACACTTTGAAAAGTCCATTGTTTGATATTTTTGTGTAGAAATTTAAATGCATTCCACATGCTTGTGAAATTACCTTACTTATATTTTATAAATTTTTCTTTAACTTTTTTAAAAGGTACAGGACAAAATAAATCTTAATTTAATTTTCTTTTTTATAATTTATTAAATTTTTAATAGTTATTTCATTTAATCTTATTAATTACAGAGCTGAAAAAGAAAAAAGTAAATTCCAAGCCGAAATCTACACGCTCATCGCCCAAGTCGAAAGCGTTAGCAAGGAACGATTGATCTCCATCAAACAATGTGAAAGATTGGAAATCACCGTCAACGAGCTCAACATCAGAATCGAAGAACTTAACCGCACCGTCGTAGACATCACTTCCCACAAAACCCGCCTGTCCCAGGAGAACATCGAACTCACCAAAGAGGTCCAGGATCTCAAGGTCAACATCGAAAACGTCATCTACCTCAAATCTCAGCTCGCCGGCCAACTAGAGGATGCCCGCCGTCGTGCTGAGGATGACGAAAGGAGACGTTCTATTTTGGAAGCTAATCTCCACCAGGTACTAAGCATGTCACTTTGATATTTTCATTTAAATAAGCAAAATAAGTAAATAGTCTATAAAACTGGGGTGACAACAATAAATATTTTCAAGCTACTTTTCATGATACAGACGATGAAAATGCATTAAAAATGGGCTCTGTCACAATACAGCGCGGACATATTAGGGTTGACTTAACAGCGCCGCGACAAATTAGCAACGTCACAAAATGGCGATAAAAATAAAGTTGGATAAATCGACAGCGGACAATATTTTGTGAGGACAAAAAAGTTCCGGTACAAAAAGGCTATAACAAATAAAAAAGTGGTAAAAATAAAGAAAAGTATATCCGATTTATTAAAACAAATCATATTATAGGCAATACATTACATTAACAGCACGAAATAGCCGGGGTGTCAATTTGACAAAAAGATGTCTCCTACACAAAGTACAAATGGTTTTCTACATTAGCAAATGAGTATTCTTCAAGAAAATCCTGTCTTAATTGTAAATACTTGCTTTTCCATAATTTAAATCTAGTTTCTGATATGTAGTTACCAGAAATTCTGTTTAATATTGCTTTTTTTAATTTATTTGTAGGGATGGATAATGGCAGTCCAATACGTTTTAAAAGGCTTTATGCCAGGAATGGGCAACCTTTTTTTGGAAATGGCCAGAATTAATTTTTTTATATGGGCCACGGGCCGCAATTAAAAATCTAAAATCTGATTTATTTTAAGTAATTTAAAAATTCAATTGACGAGAAAAATAGTATTTCTAATATCAGATATAGCAAAAAGAATTAATAATTAAAGAAAAATTAAATAAATAGTAGTCATATTTCTACTTTCTCTTCTCTTAAATAGTTATTGTTCCTTTAATTAGTTTAAATTTAGAAAAATAATAATGTGAGCTGTTGAGTTTAATCAATCAATGATCCTTGATAAAATAAAAGTTTTGTAGACTTATGGTCGATTTATACTCCCTTATTATTAGTATTTGTATTAGTTTTATGATTAAGCATTAAACTGGACAAAATATTCAAAAAGGGTATTTATACTGGTTTAATAATTAGTATTAGTGCTTCTTTTCTAATTCTGCAGTCAACAAAATCATGATTACTGAAAAAATGTGTAAGAGGCCAGTTGTGTTCTTAGAATATTTGAGTTTTAAACGTGTTAAATTAAGGACTTTTAACGGATTTATGTCTCAATTTATATCAGATAAAAAGAAGCAGACATTTGAGACAAATCAGATAGAAAAGAGGCCTTTGCGTAGTATATAGTTGTTGGCCTTTGCTTCGTTGTGGTGACATGTCATATGTCACTCTGTCAACTTTATACTCGGTAAACAGTGCTGATACACAAAAATTGTATACAGCGCATGATTTGTACCGAAATATTATCGTTTTCGAGCTTATTGGAACAAACCCATAAACAACATGGCCATTCACTGTTGGGTTCTAATTAACAATGCTGTTCCTAAAGTGGCGATGGGAAACAGTAACAAATCCTACACAGAACACGAGGGTAATGGCCTTAGAAGTCGATGCCGATGACACCAAATTAAAAAAAAAACATCTAACAACATAATTATATGTGTATTGTCAACTGTCATAACAGTTGTCTATTAAAAACAAAGGCTAAGTACGTCATTGATTTATTTGATAGAAAAGAAGAAATTTTTCAATTATTAAGCATAAATAGAGAGTTATTGCAAGTTTACTGGCACCTATTGTTTGACAGGTCGTTGGAATGCCTAATTAAAGTCAGTCACTATTAGTGCCGCTCTTATTTTGTCATCTAAGCATGCGCAGATCACTTACATTCTAGAACTGACTTTAATAAAGATTGTGCCTGTCCTTAATTGTGGATGTTTAAGGACAATAGTTTTCAGATGTGCTCGCCACCCAGAGCCCCGGGGATTCGGCGCCTATGAGTTATTGTTTCAGATGAAACATTCATGTATACTAGACCATGCGTTAAATTGAACCATGACTAAAAAAAAGGACTTATGTCCTTAAGGATGATATTATTATCATCCTTAAAGCAAAATAGATATAATGTGTATTCAAAATTATTATTTAATATACTCGTAGTGTACAGAATACAATTTGTTTTAGATTTATTTTAAAAATATTTAGAGATATTTAACAAACGTTCTGGCAAGTCAATTTTTAATTTCATTCATTTACCTGATTTTAGTTTTTTTACAAAAATTGTAGTTACTAAATAATGTAATCTAATTTTAAAAATCCAATAATCTCGTTATTTTAAAAAATATTTTTATATTTTATGGAGGTAACTCGATTAAGTTAGCCACAAATATTTTAACACAGACTAACACAAGAAACAATTTATGAATTTTCAATTTAAGGTTAACCTGAAGTTTCAACTGAAGTTTTAACTAAAGTTTCAATTGAAGTTTCAATTAAAGTTTCAATTAAAGTTTCAACTAAAGTTTTAACTGAAGTTTCAACTTAAATTTCAAGTGAAGTTTTAAGTGAAGTTTCAAGTGAAAATTAAACTATACTATAAACGTAACCTATATAACTGGCCCTAGCTGTTTATTTGACTTATGTAATGCTTCTTTCAGGTGGAAATTGAGCTTGAATCCATCCGCGTCCAGCTTGAGGAAGAGAGCGAAGCCCGTCTTGACCTTGAACGCCAATTAGTCAAATCACAAGGCGAAGTTCAAATCTGGAAATCCAAATTCGAAACCGAAGCTGCAGCTCGTGCAGAAGAAGTCGAAGAACTCCGCCGCAAATTCAGCGCTAGGATCCAGGAACAAGAAGAACACATCGAATCCCTCTTAGTCAAATGCAACAACCTCGAAAAACAGAAGTCCCGTCTCCAATCCGAAGTCGAAGTTCTGATCATCGACTTGGAAAAGGCCAACAACACTGCCAGAGAATTGCAAAAGCGCGTCGAACAACTCGAGAGGATCAACATTGACATTAAGACTCGCCTTGATGAAACCGTTCAATTGTACGAGCAAAGCCAACGTGATCTTCGCAACAAAGTCACCGAACTCCAACGTGTTGTTCATGAATTGGACAAGACCCGCGAACTTAAGGACCAACTTGCTAGAGAAAACAAAAAATTGGCTGGTTAGTATAATGTTTATTTTTTCAATATACCTTCTTCGTTATTCGACCATTTTTCTGTGCTCGTGCGGTGCTTTTGAATCTACTAATTTTCCAAACAACTTATTGTTATCCTTACTCTAACTACAAGTGTTGAGTCGGTCACAACGTTACTTTAAATAACTTTCATTAAGTCTCGGTGGGTGTATTTTTACCACAAGCCCTTGCCCTAAGAGCCAAATATTTTAAAGAAGTCTATCCCAGGAAACCGAAGTAGGTCTATTTAACATGTAACCTAGGGTACACAAACAAAGGAAGCAGGTTACTTGCTTGCTAGTAACAAGCGCTTATAAACGCCAACAATTAGGTCCGCTTTTAAATGCACCCGCATATAGACAAAGACGGTTGGAACTTGTTGCAAGCGCCGATCGACACCAAGAAATTACAGGAATTAATTTTCAATTCTTGGTCACTGGTTGTTGGTGTCGGACGTGCATTCCACTTGAATTATGGACGTCGAGTCATTTTTATTAACTGCATTTTAATATCTTCCAGGATATAGGTGAATGTCTCAACGGTCATTCTCATGTTCATGTTGTTTCAACGATTGGAATAAATTGTGATTTTTCACCATAAACTATTCGTTCTCAATTCACTGGATGTATATCTTGTTCTGTACGTTGCATCCTTAGACATATATTTTTCATTAATAAAAAGTCTTCTTCTGAAGATGAACCAGACATCTTCGTAGTATGAAACGTTTAAACGGCGTTCATTGTGTACTACTGAGATGACTCGTAAGCGCTGGTATTCGGCTTTAGAAATAAGCGCTGGTATTCGGCTTTAGAAATAAGCGCGGATTAACCTGCTTTCCTTGTGTGCGTACCCATATGCATTTTCCGTCCAGTTAAATGGAAACGGTTTCTAAGAATAAATAATTTGTGTACAGTTAGCTAGACGCGGTATCTTAAAATAGCCTGTTTGTGTCCAGTATAAAAATACCAATAAGGGAGAAAAAATATTGTAGTAAAATTTTCGTTGTTGTTTGATGTGTACCTCCTCTATATCTACGAATATCCCTTTTAAGATTCTAATCACAAAAAGAATTGGTAACGCGGATGGTGCTACCAGAAGTTGCAATAATATTTTTTTATTAAAATGGGAATAAAACTTTGGCAAAATAATCAAAGTACTGAATAATGACGTTTGATTTATGAAATGAATTCTTGTGTGCTCCGTTTCGATATATTTTTTTTAACTCTAGAGCATTTGTTAATTCAAATTGAACATAACTGCTCCATCTTGTTTCACAACTAGAAGTTCAAGTTCATTGGTTAAAAAGAATTTAATTGGTTTGTTAATTGCATCTCAGTGTTATAAAAAAAATAATTATTTACTGCACCAGAAGATAGATATAAAATATGTAGTGCTGCTTAAATAAAAACTGTGACCGACAATACAAAAGAACTTTTATTTACTTGCATAAAATTCTACTACTATGTTCAAAAAAAATGTTTTTCAATTCAATTTGTAATATGTCGTATGAATATCAACGATAAGTTTTTCTTTCTTGTAGTTGGGTAGAGTAATGCCAATCTTTTATACCATACATCGAAGTGATGACGTGGATTGGAAAAATATCAATTCTATTTGTATTTTTGAAAGCAAATTATAAAAGTTTTATTATTCTATTATCACAATAACTCTTTTCTAATGAGGAGTCGCAAACTATATCAATAATTGCATAGTTTAATTCAAACCAAACTTCTTCTAATAAATATGACCTAACGATCGCATAACTAGTTAAAAATAATTTGCTTCTATTTGGTTTATAGTCAAATGTAGCTTAAATTGATTTTTTTCTTCAATTTTAGATGATCTTTGTGATTGCAAGAACACCATTACTGAACTTACCCGTCGTCTCCATGAACTTGACATGGAAGTTCGCCGTCTAGAAAATGAACGGGATGAACTTACAGCTGCTTACAAAGAAGCTGAAGCGGTAAGATTTTTAATATAATTTATTCTTATAGACTTTCTAGAGCAACAAGTAGTTACTTACGAGGTGTGGCTATAAAAACAGATTAGTGATAAAAAATCTGTTATTGGTTTTCTTTCTAAATCTTAATATTATCCTCTTCAATATATTCCCCTAAAATCTGTTCGCTCCGTGCGCGACAGTAGCGCCAATTCGTTTTGTTACTAATGGACTATTTCTGCGTATACTGACAAATACAATTTTTAATAGAATTCGTAATTAAAAGGTATATATGTTAGTTTTGATAAAAGTATATAGATTTGTAAAACAAGCAGAACGTTAATTTATTATTGTTATATATTTTTGTCGCTTAAATTAAAGAAAATTATGTATAATCAATAAAAATCAATAATAAAATATAGACAGACAACAGTATTTACTGGAAAATGTATGAGAAGTTGCCTAAGTCTAATAAGTTGTCATTGAAGAATTAGCTATTCTGTCAAAATAAAAAAATACCATTTAATAATAGCGTGAAGTTAAAATGTATAAAAAAAGGATCGTTGTTCATATTTTCATTTTTGTTCGAAAGAAAACATAGAATGAATGATTAAAACAGGTTTCCCATCAGTAAGTCACAAAATTGCATTCCAGCCACATCTAATAATCAAAGGCAGAAATCTTGAAATCTAGTCCTTGCTGAATGAACATTTAAGAATAAAGGGGTATTAAAGAATATCGTAAAATAATAATTTATTGTTTATTTAAAACCTTTCAAATTTCTGATGTCTACTATTTCCAGCATTACTGTTATTATTACAAAAAAAAAGGTAATTTTTCTTCTTATTGTACACCTATCCATTTTTTTCTTTGATTTAATTTCCACTTTCCTACTGAAATTTTTTTTATAAGTTTCACTGTTTTTTTTTTGTTAGTATTTGTACAATTTTCAACACAGCAACTCCGGTTGCTTATTGTATTGTTTTTACCTACTTTTTTGAAAAAAAAAAAAGTTAAATGTATATGTGTATTTGATATGCCAAAATTACAAAATATCGCCCTAAAATGCACGAATTATCCGCAGCTAGCGCTAGTATCGCTTTTGCTTCCCTTTCCATGATTTCGCACGGAGCGAATACACTTCTCTATGTAAATTAATCAAAGCGATGCTTTAAATAATTTTTTGAAGGCGTGTTTATGGTCTTCGTTTTTCTTTCACGGCTTCTAGTGCACTTCTAGTGTCTCAAATCTACTTCCTTTTATTGCTGATTTCACCATGATCTGGTGAAAAGGGTGGATGTCTTAACACTGGGACCTCATGATTGATCAAAAACCTTTTGACAGACAATGCAATGTCCTGATGAAAAAACCATGACTAGTTTATAAAGGGTAGTCAGGAACTTATTATAGTATGGAAATTAAATTAAATTAAACATTTTTCCGACATAAAACTAATCCAGGGTCTATTTAGATTGATCGAAAGAAGAAGGCAACGTGATACAGTAGAATATCTTTGACCTTGATGCACTCACCGTTTGTCTGCAGAATAATAAGTCTAGTTTTTTTATAGACACAGTTTTTACGAGTGATAATGGCAGTCAAAAGCGGACAATATAAATTATAATACTTGTTGCGAGCTATTGGATTTTCCTAACTTACTTTCCATGTCTTGCACGGGGGTTTCTTCCTGTAGTGAACTATGGACTGTTCGTCTAGAAAATGAATTATATGAAAAGAGAGATGTGGTCTGAATTATTATGACAAAAACCTATTGTTCTAACAGTTTCTTGTTACTATCCGAATTTATTTTCGTGAGGTTCAAAGCTTGATTTTTGTTGGTATGATGAGTCGATCCTAAAAATAACTTTTATATTTATATTTTATTTTAATTAATTAGCTGATGCAAACTATGAATTAAATAATAAACTATGATGTTATTTTTATGTTGCCTTTCTTTTGATTACCTATGAAAGGTTATGAGAGTAACTGACATATCTGTTAAAAATGCTTGTCAATTTTGAATAAAACTGTTTGTTTAAATGTAATAATTGGACTGTAATTGAACCGCCCTTGCTACCTGATGATTTGAGGAATCCCCTACTGTTGTCACACATTTAATTAATCACAAATCATCTTAGACATATTGATATTCTTTTACTGATTCAAATGGCTACACGATCATCTCAGAACTAGAAAACAACAGTAGACCATACCATGGACGACTTGCCATAAACTTGAAATATGTGGCGACCACACGTTGTAACTGCAAAGTGAGCATGATTGCAATGAATGGACGAAAAACGAATATGATCTTCCCAGGAGCCCGAACTCTACTTCCAGTTCGTTAGTTTTCTAAAATATTATATACCCAATAGTTTGTTTGTGATCTTCGTTATCATTTACACTTCATCAGTTGTCATTAAAAATTTTTGTTGACATACATTGAGAAGCAATGCACATGAACACCATGAAGTTGACAAAGTACCTACTGTGTTCATATCAAGAGCTCGACACTCTATCATTAAACAGGCGGCAATCTTTATACGTCAAATAGAGTCGGATAAGTAATTTATACTTTTTTTATTTCTTCAGGGCCGTAAAGCTGAAGAACAACGCGCTCAACGCCTTTCCGCTGAGCTCGGTCAATTCCGTCACGAAGCCGAAAAACGTCTTCAAGAGAAAGACGAAGAAATTGAAGCCATCCGGTAAGTACATACAGTAAATTTCGCAGGACCCTTGACTGATCTCCACGGGCTACAGTTTACGAAACTATGATTTAACTAAATATTTTTTTTTACATTTTTTTGAAAATTGAAAAGGTGTGCTGAATAATTGATACGCTAATCTCTAGAAAACGGTCACTTTTACAAAGTATACATTTTCTGCGTAAAAAGGTAGAAAATACATATTATTTGATGTTTAGACTAATACCCTAGGACCCAAAAAAAGTTTGCTAACTTTAAAGAGATTTCATGTACCGTAAGTGGCTCCCTCTACAAGTGGCATACGAACTAAGAACGGATTTGAATTTTTTTGTCTGCAGAAACCCTTAAATTTTTAATTTCGAGGTGGTATCTCGCCCTGTTTATAAAATATTTAGAAAAAACAATTTTGACATCCTGTATTTCGGTTATTATCAATTTTTGGAATAAAGTAAGTTTGATTAAATCCCATTATTAAAGAATCTACAGTTTCGCTGCTTATCGTTAATTAGCGAACGTATTAACAATATATAGAACGTTCTATTTCTCTACTGTAAAAATGTTCTCTACTCTTTTTAATCCCTCCTCTCAAATTCAAAAGGGTCTGCCAGAAAGGTTATGTCATCATTTACTTAAAGTGCCAAAGGAATTATTACAAACGATTATTTACAACTTGCCAAGTTGCGAGAAGTTCAAAAGATAAGTCAAGCAATGATTTCAATTGATTTTAATAAATATATTTAAACTCAGTAATATAACAATTAAAATATATATCATTAAAAACATTATTTATTGTTATGCTTCAGATTTTTTCTTCCTGTAGTTTGCATGTTTCTTACATAACCTTGACCAAAAGTTCCCCTACTTCTTACACGCCAGTAATTTGTTTAATCCAATTTCGGAATTTAGACACTTTCGTGTAAACTCCAGGAAAATAAGGTTCAGCACAACTGTATCCAGATGAAATAATGCCAAATATGATTCCATCTATAGCAGCAGGTCCACCAGAATCACCCTGGCAGCTATCTTTTCCTCCAGTAGCAAGAAATCCAGCGCAAAACCTGTTTTTCATATTGCGAATGTATATCCGATTACAAATCCGATCGTTGATGGTCGGAACTTCAACAGCTTGCAAAATAATAGAATTATCGCGTGTGAAAGTATTAATAACTCCCCATCCTGTAACTTTAAGACTGGTACCATCTGGGATTTCTTGATCTTGTCGTGGAAGACGAGCAGGTTTAGCAGACTGAATAGTGACGGGTGAAGCAAGACGTAATAACGCAATATCGTTTGCTATCGTTTTTGAATTATAATAAGGATGCAATATAGCTGATCGAATGTTCAATATTTGACCACCTTTGTTGTATCTGGAACTTCCGACGCGTATTTTGCATGTTCTGATGTTTTCATAATCATCTTCAACTTCTGCGCAATGTGCTGCTGTCATAACCCACGTGTTAGAAATAAGAGATCCGCCACAAAAATGGAACCCACTACTACTTTGCAATGATATTTGATATGGATATTGATTGATTTTGGCATTTCTACCTCCAACGATTCTTAATTGACCTGAAAAATATTTTATATAAAAATATAATTAAAGAAACCATGGTATGTGATTCAATTATATTGTAGACTTTTAATGTTTATGGATTTTAAACAGTATTCTTAAAAATGAGGATTGGATAATAGTCAGTACCTAATCTATATAATTTTATTGTCAATACAATGAATGCTATATTTATAAAATGTTTTTTCACAATAATATATTGAACGTGCTAAAATTATGTTTACTAATAAAGTCATCATAATTTACCCCATAGTTTTTATACAAAAGAGAATATCAGGTTGGTCTTACTCATTCTGAACAAGTATGATATTTTTAATATTATCTCTTGGTGACACAGCCTTACTTGCCATCGGAAAGGCAATAGAAGAATCGACCAAACAAAATGTATAAGTTTGCAAAAATATGGCGCATTAAGCTTAACGAAACTAAAACAGTTCAGGTTAACTTAAATAATAAAACATCAGTAGAATACCTACCAGTGGTATTTTACAATGCTAGAATACCATATATTAATTCGGCAAAATACTTAAGCATCATCCTAGATAGAAAATAAAAGTGAACATAAGACATAAAGAGAAAACTGGAGGAGTTAGACATTGAGTAAAAGAAATTAAATTGGTTGATGAATAGAAAATTAAAACTTTTAATCACAAATAAACTATTTACAATATACACTGAAGTATCGAAAATCTACACCTCTGGGGGTATGCCAGTTAAAATCACATACAAATGTAATACGTTATTAAAACAAAATATTGAAGCAATAGTAAACGCACCTTGGTATGTAAAGAATTCAGATTTTCACAGATACTAAACAGTCGAAGATGAAAGGAACAACATTGAATAAAAAACATGAAAAAAGGCTGCATAACCCACTAAACTATATATTAAACTGGAAGAACAAAGCCGATCAACAAAATCAAGCCACATAGCTAGGTGATATTTGACACTCTGGCGCCCACACGTGCGTATCGAAATGCACTAAAAAGAATCAAAACTACTAAACCTTTTAATTTAAGAAAATCACATTAAAATTATTTTTGGTTAATACGCAGCTGAAACAAATGTTCCAATAAGAATAATTATTAAAATAGCTCGTTATTAATGAAAAATAATATATCTTATAGTAGTACTCCTGTGGGAAACGTGACGTATAATGCTCGAAATTAATAGTCTGGCTACAGCTTACCTATTAACCAGCTAGCAAACTCCCTACGCCGCCTATTGATGTGAGGAGATCAAAAGAGAAATGCCGAGGGTTAACATATCAGGTCCGCATTGAGCTGCTTTCGGCGTCTAATACGACAGCGCCGTATTTGTATTTTTCATTACTAATATTTTATAACTAGGTTAAATGCATATTGCATGAAATATTTAAATACAGATACTTTGATTTTAACAAAGTAAGTTTCAAGTTGTAGGTAATGCCCAAAATTAATTTAAACAATCAAAAGCAAATAATAGAACAAATATAATTTATTTTTTCAACATTTTTTCAAAGAGTAATATACACAAAATACATAAAAAAATACATGGGTAGGTACTACCTACAATATAAAAAATACATAAAATATTAAAATATATAGATACTAAATTTACATACTACATACTAATTTTCATTATTCATTCCGCCAAATGAGCAACTTATTTTTATTAATTTTTTTAAAATTCCTATTAATTTCCTTCAGCGTGTAATATAGCCTAACCCTAATGTAAAAAAGTACAACATAAACTTAAGGAAATTGCGGACAAGGATGATAGAAGGGAATAGTTTCGAAAATATTTAAAAAAATTTGATAAATATCCGGAAGGGTTGCGAACTTTTCAAAACTGGCCTTAAAGATTTCTTCAATGGCTATTATAAATTTGACGAAATCATTATGAGGATTTTTTAAAATTTCCAAATAAATCTTTAGAACGGTTTTCATACGCCCTTAAAAATATATAAATTGACGAGTCGTCCAATTCCTGATTTGACTTGGAATATTCTAAACACACTGTACAATTATGAATTGTTGTAAATTTATTTAACAAATAACCGCAGACATATCTGATAACATTTTTTGATAAATCATCATTTTTTTGATAGTCTGTGGTTATTTTATGTTCTAAAATTTGATGTTCTTCAGCGGGAGCTGATTGTTCTCTTGGAACATCCTTTTAAGTCAAAAGAACCGTATTTAAGTCGTCCTCGCAGTTTTCTGTTCCAGAATCCAACAAAATTGAACACAAAATTTTTTTGAATGTTCTGTGGAATTGAATAGGGGTTGGATTTGTACAATTTCCATTAGACGTCAAAATCGTCTTGGTTTCTTCTCGTATAAATATATTCATATTTCACTTCTGTATTGAAATAATTTTCTAAAGATAACAAAGTTTTGATTGAAATTTAAATACATTTAAAACATTTTATTTTTCTGGTTATATTTACATTATTTCGGTCGAAAACCTGCACCCTTTCAAAAAGTCCAGACAATCTGTTAAAAACGTTACTTGTAAATTTGAATTTATAAAAAACCCTAGTTTTGTTTCGCCATCTGCAAGCTCGTAGAGTTGCAGCCTCTAGCTGCACAAACATGCCCACCTCTTACTTTTTCCATAGTTTCAAACTTAAAAAAATAATTTGAAACTAACACGAACGAAAAACCGAAATTAACTACGCCAGTGGAGTCAAAGCGAAATCGTAGCGAAATGATCGCCGCAAGCTACTGGCTTAACCCACGACCCCTCTGCGCGCTTGGATCGGCGCGAGCCTTCCACTTCCAGTAGAGTCTGTGAGCTGGTTAATAGGTAAGCTGTGGTCTGGCGTCCAAATTGTCATGCGTACCGGCCGTTTTTTTCACCCATGTCGGCTTAGAAATTAGGAGTAGGTTTTATGTCATAAAGCCATCCAGTTTAATATCAAGGTCGGTGGAATAACCAGTCAATATTAAAGTTATGTGGCTCCCTGGGCAACCAATATCTAGCTATAAGACTCAAATGGACCGGACCATTCTAATTAGCGATATGACATTTTGTAAAATCATAGGGCTCATGCGTACAGTGCATAGTTCCGAAGTTGGAACATTAGAACAGAAAGGAGAAGATACCATTGGGTAAACTCTTAGTTTAAATCTTATTAAGTTTACATGAATAAAGACAAATTGTTAATTTGCTGAACTATAGCTAAGTGCAATACAAATAGATTTCAAAATCTCTAGAATTAGTAATATTATTTCCTTGTCTAATACTGGTGAGCAATATAATCAGTGGCGCCCCCTAGAACCTTTCTAAATAAAGGAAAGTAACGTTCTGATTAAATGGATTTACCGTCTTCGTCTCCAAAACTGCGATTCCAATATTTTCCAAATATTTATAAAAGTTTAAAAATTCTTTGTACATTTACAATTTCTGTAACAAGTCTTTACTCTTGGGCTTTTAAAACCTAAGATCTACCATGCCAGAAGCTCGCCCTTAACGGTTTAGCTTTATTATGTGTGCCCATCAAAATATAGAATTAGATGTAGACGAAATCATAAATCGATTTTCAAATAAGAAGACAAGTATGAAAAAGAAAACACAAAATCCGTACCACACAATAATATTTTATTGACAAAATGTAGGGGCAACCGGTTTTGGCTTAAAAGCCATCAGACCTGAAATATGAAAAAATTAAATGATTGTTATAGTTATGTGGTTTTAGGTCAAATTTAATTAAAGTTGAATGATAAGTTGACATTTGTTAAAAAAATTAAATACGGTTTGTATATAAGATTTACACACACGAGTATTTAAAGTTCTTGAAAATCCTATATATTATCAATGGTGCAGGTATTAGACCAATTTTTAGGTGTAGACCATAGATAAATTAATAAGTAAGATAAACTGTTTAAATGCACGATACTAGTAACAAGTTGTTAGTTCCTCGGCATAATATTTGGAGCACACTACACACTGGCTGATTGGCTTGACAGATAAAGGCAGCAGAAAAGAAGAAAATAAAAAGAAGATTATAAAGTGTACCCGCGGTTCATTCAAATGTCCTTTATTATTTATTTACATTTTTTGGCATTCATTACTCTAAAAAAACTAATATATAAATTAAAATATTGTATTTAACATAAATATTAATTTGTTAAAGTAATAAAACTCAAAAAAAAATATAATTAAAGAAATAATTATATTAAAATATTTGAAACACAAGTAAGGCATTTAAACATTTATTAGATACATATCATGTACTCAATATTAAATAACAGTAATTGTAAGTGAAATTAATAGTAGGCGCCTCTTATTCTTGGAAAAATGGACCAAATTTTGATGTAGGTGTCAGGTGTTTCAATAAAAAGAAAAAAGGTGTTATTGAACAATTTCTCTTGCCTATCAAAATGTTATTATTATTCTCATTATTATTTTTCTTATAAGTACAAGTATATTTTTGGAAACAATAAGAGCTTTCTCTAGCTTACATATTCTTGTATTTTATTTTCTATTAATAAAATTGAGTTTTTTTTCGTTAGGAATTAAATTTTTGACTCAACTTTCATTTATTTATTTCAAAACAGTTTTTCTTCATTTTGAGGTTTGTTCAAATTGTTTATCATTAATACTAAGTTTACGTTTGCAACTCATTTCGTATTTTTCGTAGTAAATAGGTAAGCAAATCTATCTTATGCTGCTATGTATATGTTTTTCAACCTCAATATATTCTAAAATCTGACTCTAGGGTTGAGTATAGTTAGGTATAGTTAAACTAAATGTACTTTTATCTAATAAAATTGGTTCAGCATTTGCAATTAGTCGTTTACGTTTTAGGGCAATTTTGCTAACAGACTCTGGCAAAAAATGATCTTCACAAAGATAGCAAGTTTTATTATCTAAAGTTAAATTTAAATTCTTAAACCAGTTCTCACGAATTTTAACATCAGAAGAAGAAAAGTTTTTATTTGAATACACAGCTTGAATTTTAGAATACTTATTTAAACAATTAGGAGCTAAACAAGAATACTTTACTTTTCAACGCTATAACCGGGCCAGACATGTTTTGTTATTGTTACAAATATATTCAGAAAGAATTGAAAATAGATTCAAAATTAAATTATATTTCTTTAAGGCTAAGAAAATAATGATAAACAAAGTCATTAAAAAATCTAACACCTAATATTAAATTAAATTGTTAATACTTACTAATTACACCAAACCAGCACTTATGAATATTTCACCAAGTTGTGAATCTCCAGAAATATTTAATTTTGGATCGAGGATGACTAAGAACTTGGTGGATATGCTTGTTTGTGGACAGTAGGTAGATTTTTTACAATTATAATGTAAATAGACAAAAAACCTTCAGTTTTTTCTTTTGGCCTTTTGCCTTTAATCTTTTTCATATTAACTATTGTATTCTAAATTTAAATTTCAATATATTTTCCACAATCACCCTTTATTTGTAAATTTTTTTAAATTTTCAACTAATCTGTTAACTTGTTTTCAACTGTACTCAATGCGAATAGTGAAGGTGGTATAATTCCTTAGTTCCACACAAGGTAACTTGCTTCTGGAGATCAGATATGATTTCTTAGGGGCTTATTCCACACTCACTATTCCCAACACTGAGTTATGTCACTCTGTTTGTTATCTTTTAATTGTTAATTTGTTCAAAGTTGCCTTATATATATAATTTTAACTTCTAACTTAAAAGTCTTACTCAGATTTTATTTCTACACATATTTATACATCCACAATTTGTGTAGATAAGCACTGATGATGGCACCATGCCGAAAGCGCTTTGCAAATTTTGCACGAAATACAAGTCTTTCTTTTTGAATATCTACTTATTTTTTTGTTTAAAATTCATATATTAGGTACCAACATTTATTTGGAAAACTAGTCATAGGATCCAATTTTACCAATAAGAATTTCGAATGAGTATATACACCTGTACTATACACCCTGTATCTCCTAGCTATAGGTTAGGATTGGGCCCATGGACATTTTTGATGAAGACAACAAGTAATTTAAACATCAAAAATTGTTTTTCTTCTTGTATCTTCTCAAAAAACTAAATTCTCGCATATATTAATTTTTATTTTATGTCAAAAATATTCTTGGTAATGTTAGTTTGAGTAATTTTTAAGGATTCTCCCTATTTTATGAGTTACTCATCTATTTTAAGCACTAAGAGCTCAATTGTTTCATTTTATTACACTCAATTAATTCTGGAGTAATATTATTCCAACATTTTTATTTTTTATTTATTTATTGTCAATTATAACATCGCAAATTACTTACCAAATCCGCCACCAATGATCGTTCCTAATATAATTATTATTATGATCAACTTCAACATTTCACAGTATACTAAAAACTGAAGTTTCACGTTTTTAGTCAATTTAAACATCAACTATGCTACTATATAGTTTTTATTGCTTTTTTATTATTTTTTCGTTACTGGTAGCCCATTAACACAAAATCTATATAAATTGACGAGCGCTTTGTAAGTTTTAAAGCAGAAGTATTTAAACCTATTCCCTATTTCGACTATTATCTTTGCCAGTTTATTTATTTCACAAACCGTAGAATGAAAACGTAGGCAATAATATCAGTCAACTGAATGAATATAATTTCATGTATACACACGTTAGGATATACTCGTATTATGAAATCTACCACAGTTCACGATTCGTATCCGACTAACTATTCTTTTTTAAAATTTCTATTTAGGCATTCTAAACAAAATGATTCCCTGATGAACATGATATACTTACACACATCTCAATTTTACACTGAATTCAGTGTTCACTTTTAGTACTCTTAATTCAAAAAATGTCTACTTGTAAAACGAGCAACTCTAGTTTTTACATGCCGCTAAGGATAAAACTATTAATAAAATCACATACAGCACCGTATTTTTCTTCAAAATACACCCTCAAAGTAAACAGTTACTGTTATTTAAATTAATTATGCTTAAAAACAACTTGACAGATTACTCAACGAACGTTCATGTTTTAAAAGTACAAAACACTTATCATATCAAATTCATCAGGCAACCATTTGGAATACCGAGGGAATACCTAATTATTGACTAACCTGTCAGCATAATTGTCAACTACTGTCAACGTTCATTGGTCGATCAATCCCTTGATACAAAACATTTCCATTTATCAAAGTTTTTAGTTAAAGTGTATAAGTCTTCATAGTATAACGTGCAATCAAATCACTTATATTTCGTCACTGTTTTAAAAATAGGTTATGTTATGTTGGGAATGGGGTGTTAATACACTACGACCTAAAAGATCTATTGTGCCCCCTTTTGTCGCCAGTGCACTAAGGAAATGTCTCAATGCCTATAATGACTCTTCCAATCCTATTTTTTCAAGGAAGTGTAGGATTTGAAGTGGCTTCAAATTGGGTAAATTTCCCTCTTCTATTTGATATCCTCCTAGATATAGTGCCCTTGGATTCTGGAGTGCTACACATTCAGTTAGAATGTAAATGGAGGTTTCGTCCTCCTCCTTACAGAATCTGCACGCACTATCCTCTACTAGTTTACTTAGGTGTCCTTTTAGTCAGCAATGCCCGTTGAGGATCCCTGTTACAATACGTAGCCTGTTCTTGCTTAGGCAGATGCAGGCTTCCGATCTTTTCTGCTTATATTTACCCAGAAGTATCTTGGCCTATCTCAGCCCTAAGAGATTGTTCCAATTATCGGTTCTTCTACTGCCCAATTCTTTTTTAATCTCTCCAAATAATATGTTACTGCTGATACCGCAGAACGGCTCAGGTCCAACAAAGGGTGTTTGAGCCCCTTTCCTGGCAAGACTACCTGCAATCTCGTTACCCTGTACCCCGTTATGTCCCGGAACCCAAGTGAGAGTAACTCTATTTTTCGCGCCTAGCTTATTCAATTGTTCTAGGCATCTCCAGGCCATTTTTGAGCTCATTACGTAAGATCTCAGCGCTTTGATGGATGCTTGACTATCGGACATGATGATAATCTCTTATCTATGATAGTTTCTCTCGATGTTAAACTGGATACACTTTTCGATGGCGTGAATTTCCGCCTGGAAGATGCTTGGATATTTACCCAAGCTTTCGGAGTGCTTGGTTCTCGGCCCATACACTCCTATTCCAGTTCCTTTTATGGTTTTGGAACCATTCGTATACCACTGAATAGCACGTCTTTCGGTTGCAAGCGCGATGGATTCTTGGCTCTTTCTTGCAGCCCAGCTCTGTGGTTTTGAAGTGGGACGAGATAAGATCAGTCTTCGTAAAAGCAATTCCTCAAATAGTTTTGATATCACAGGTAGAAGCGAGATTTGTCTATATGATGTTATTTCATTATTGGGTTTTTCCGGTTTGAATATCATTATTACCTCTACTTTTATCCTTGGTAATATTAGTAGGGTCATCGACAACCCTTTGTTTTGGTGCTGTTATTATTTCAGCATTAGCAGCTAATCTTTGTTTTGGAAACTTTGTTGGTGGTTGTCTGAGTGACGCATTATAGTAAAAGAGACTTAATTGAGATGCTAGTGAAGTACTATAGTGTTATGGCTATTACTTGCCATAGCTGATGTGTGGTATTGTTTTTCTTGGGTCTCCTAGTGCTGGCCTCAGCTGTGCTAGTACTCCCCCTCAGCTTTGCTAGTGCTCGCCTGAACTGAGCTAGTTACTCGTCTCAGCTGCGCCAGTATTCACCGGAACCACTTCAAGACTATTTTTATTGGCTGGTTTAAAGAGTCTCTTGAAGTTTGGGCTTCCCATCTTTTTAATGCCTTACTGTCAAACTTTTCTCTAGGAACTATTTTGTCCTTAGCATCTAACCAGGTCTCTGCAATAAACTTGGAAAACATATCTTTTGGCAGGCGTCGTCCAACGTTATATCGCTGCCATTTTATCAACTTCGTATCCCACGCAATTGTTTTAAAAACTGACACTTCCAGTGGTTGTAGAAGATGTGTTGTATGTGGTGGTAGCTTAATAATAGTTACATTTTGCTTGTTTGCCAAATTAACTATAGCGTTTTATGTCCATCATATATAAAAACCTGATGTCTTTCTGGACCTAATGCGGGAATCACGGTGTAAATACAAATTTGATCTTTTTTAATTTGTTACGAATTACAGCACAAACAAAAATTTACAAAAAAAAAAGGGATAAGGAATCAAAAATATTCTTAATAGAGATGAAAATTAATTTGTTAAACAACATTCAATTTCAGGTTCTGCTTTGACTTTTATGGCAATAGTGTGATGAACATGTCACGATTTTCTAGATAATTATTTTAAAACCTATTATTCATTCGTGATTAACGAAAATCGCGTAACTTGTTGCACGATTATATTATTAGGTATATAATTCCATTACCCTTTGGACTCGTAGCCTTAAAGTGTGCCAATACATTTCTCGAATAGAGTCATGGAGACACTATTCTAATACACGAACAAAAAAAGCACAAAAATTTTAAATTAACATGAACAAATTAAAATTCAAATAAAGAGCTGTTCAGGAAAATTTTAGTGATCTGGTACGAGTAGGCCGTGAATATAGGTGAAAACAAAAAATTTGCAACAGTGACAAAGATTGACAGTTTCCAGTTTCAATTTAGTACTCTGAGTACTAAGTACTTAGAGTTAATATAGTTAATAAAGCTGGTTATTCAAAGGCTGAGGTTAAATGTGAAATGTAATTCGTATTTAAAGTGTGCAAATTATTAGAAATGTCTAAGATATTTCCTGTCTTATAATTAAATTAAATTTGTCGAGAGCTTTCGGCAATCGTTAACTCTTTACTTTGTCCTCGTTATCTTGTTCTTCTTTTTCTTTCTCTTATTTTGCTTATTTATATTACTTAGTGTCAGTATAATTAATTTATTAGTGATTCAAGCTGAGCGGTACGTCCTCTGCAGGACATTTAAAAATATCTTCGTAAGTACACATGTTTTACTGTTTTCAACCACAGAATTTGTGTCTACCAATATGTGACCATACTTTATATTTATTTAAGGATTTTTATAAAATATCTTTGACTCAATTTGCCAGAGAGGCAAGCCGCGAAATTAGTGCGCAGCAGGTCAGCAGTCAGCTCTGAGATCACGTCGTGATGAGTGACCGCTGAGAAGTTCCATTATAAAATAAGCGAACTGGCGTTTTTAAGACGTAGCATCAATGCCGATGAATGAGTAAGTGATTGGATATGTCAGTACGACCTTCAAATGGTGATATAATAAGCCTTGAAGGATGTAGTGACGCTACATTTCAGACGGATTAGGGTGATAGCAGAGTGTCTGTAGGGTAACAAAAACACAAAATAAATAAACAATTCGCATTTCATATGCCAAATGACAAGCGCTACAAAATGTATTCGAAAGTACACATTGGTCCAAAAACAAACATAATGTAAAACAATACTATCTATCCATATTAAAAAATATATGTAACATTCTAAAAAATAGTGTATAGATACTTTAAGAAAGACACTCTGTAAAGTAAAACTTAAATAAACAAAAATAGTTAATTTTAAATTTCATCATCAAACAATTTATTGGCAACGTTAAAAAATGTAACCCTGAACTGCCAATATTTCGATTGGTTGGCATTATAATAATTTTCTCCTCGTATAAAAGCCCACACTCATTAATTGAAACGTCAGTTATCGAACAATAAGAAAAACGAGTTAAAAATGGCACGGCCTATCAAAAAGTGGCAACCGCAAACGTCAGCATACGATTATAATTACGGCATTGGAATAAATTACTACCAACCCATGGTCGACTATATCGAAGAAAAAAGTAGAGGTAGAAAAGTCGATTTCCCCCACCTCCCATGGACCGACGAGCTCGGTCTGGACCAATTCGATCCCATGAAAATAAAATCCTACTCTCAAGAGGATCTCTCGAGAGTATCTCGAAAAACAGAAGCCAGTGCCAAATCCAGACTAAGAGACCTCAAATCAAGCGCAAGCTCGAGTTTTGTGCTACAGAAATCAGTATCCGCAGCGTCAATCACCGAGAAAGTTCTAAAAAGAGAATCCAGAAAAAAGAAGAGTTTAGTGAGAGACATAAACAAAATAAAAGGCAAGATGTATGACGATCTCGAAGTATTCAATCCCGACAAAGATAGGGAGATCGAAAGAGAATTAAAAGCTTCACAAAAATTTCTTAGAGGGAGATCCGCCAATCAAATCAAACAGCAATTATTATCAGCAAGTAATAAAACCATTGCGGAAGGGGTGGAGGAAGATTTCAACAGAAAAATGCAAAGCAGTTTTGTGAGTAGCGCAAGTAGCAAGGCCAGCAGTCAATTTCGTAAAAAAGTGACCATCAGAAGCCATGTTCAAATGATGGACGAAAGGATTCAATCTCAATTGGAGGAGAGTTTTAAAGAACCTCTCGATAACC